TCTCGAGACTCATTGTCTCATTTGCAAGAGAGACCCGTTACATGTACCCCAACAAATAACATAAAAACAATAATAATACAATTTACTCAACACTTCTAAAAATCATACCAAGGTACAAGATGCAAGATACCTCTTGCGGACCCCAGTTTGAGAACCTCTGTGCTAGAACAGAGAAACCTCTAAAACGGGGATGGGCAACTTAAATGATGGATGGTGACACAGTTCTTTATTAAAGATACTAGAGGGCCATGTAGCACTGCACACTCACCCAAACGTAATTAAACTGCCATTTTAAAAACTGGGTCACATCACCAGTTGCCCATCCCTGCTCTTAAACATGCAGGATGGATAGTGGCCCTCGAGAACCAGGATTGAACACTCCTGAACCACAATACAATGCCCTAGTAAGGATAGAAATCTTGCAAAGACTGGGGAGCTGACAAACCCTCAAACTGAAGTCATCAGGTGCCCAGATCCACCCCCAGTAAGAACAGACTTTGAAATCAGGAAAATATGTAAATGTATTTATCTAGGTGGTGATCTTACAGGTGATGTTGACYTTGTGCTGAGATCAAGAGACCTGACAGACTGCTTGTTTTTGTAGTGTTTAACAGTATCTAACAAGGTTTGAGGCATTAAAAGCCTCATTTACAGTAACTTTGTCCGGTTGTTTACATGACTTCTCTGTTGAACTTGTCGCCCACCCWCTCCCTGTTGGGCTCTGTCCAAAAGAATGGGCATTGTTGAGTCATTTACACTGCGACTTTGCATTTCCCTTCAAGATTTGTTGTAGAAAACTACGATTTTAAAGCTGAACGACTGGTTGTGAAATGTTCAAAGTCTTTTCATTGTGTGGGTTGGAGAGAGAGAGAGAGAGAGACTCCGACAGATTGAAGAGGCAAAAAAGAAAGTATTGTTGTTGGGTTTGTCTCCCTGTCCTGGTACCAACATCACCACTCTAACTGGGAGTTAACTCCTGCAGCGACCTCTAAAACTCATTGCTTTTGTATTTCTGATCTCTTGAAAATAAAAAAGGAGAAATGCACCACCAAGCTTAAGTTTTACCTTCATAAATCACACCCAGTTTGGAAATGGTCAAACATTTACAGTGCTCGCTGACTGAGCCTTTCATTACCATAAAAAGTCACGCCTAACGTACTCGTATCTCTCGTGCAGCACGAGTTGTATCAGTTCAGCTGAAAAACAACCTTTAAAGTCTTCGTAGYATCCTGCAGGACGTTCTGACTCAGAGCTACCAGTGAATCTTTTTGCTTTTGGTGTTTCTGTTTTCAGTTGTGGACATCTGGAGCGATGTTTGACAAGCCGCACTACGACAGCCCGCCCGTCTACACCCCTCCATCCAACAACGGCTTTGGTCCCGTGGGCAGCTTCCACGGCCCCCAMAGCGACTACAACGCGTACCCGCCTCCGCCGGGGTCCTACTACATCGAGGACAAACCGCAGCACTTCTACAAATGGCTGTCGCCTCCCGGGATCATCAAGGCCATGATGGCGACGGTCATCGTTCTGTGCGTGGCCATATTCGCCTGCGTGGCTTCAACGCTCATGTGGGAGTTCCAGTATGGATACGGGATGGGAGGGGGCTACTACGGTTCTGGTATGGGTTAYGGCAGTGGGTACATGGGAGGAAGCTACGGCTCGAGCTACGGCTCAGGCTAYGGAGGAGGTTACGGAGGCTACGGAAACTACTACGGCAATTACGTTTCTCCTTACTCGGCCAAAACCGCCATGATCGCCATGGCTGCTATTAACTTCATCGCAGCGCTGTCCTTTTTCATCGCCAGCTTCTCAAAGTCTAAGCTCACCCGCAGCAGGAAGTTCTTCCTGGCCCTCCTTATAAGCAGCATTATAATGGCTATCCTGCAGGTAAAGTTAATATATTTTAGTTTCATATACAGCAGTGTGATGTAAGTTTATGTGTTGCAAATATGTGGTTGGCAACTTTTACTGAGAGGAGTTTTCATCTGAGACTGATGTAGTTACTTTTCACTGGGCATTTCAGTKTCTAAGGTTATTATTATTAAATACGAGCATGGTTCTGTGATCATTAATCAGGCTAGAAAATGATTTTCTAAGTAGTGTAAGAAAACACAGACTGCTGGTAGAACATGAAATAAAGAAGTCTCTCACCTCTCAGCTGCTCCACAGTTAAAGCTGAGTTATACTTTATAGTAATGTTTAAAGATTTAATTTATAATCTTTAGATAATTGTAATTAATGAGAAATTTGCACTTTTTAATATAATTTACAGCAGCAGGTAAAACTCACACAAACCCGTCATCGTCTCCTCTCTTTCACCAAAACAGCCCTAGTCTTCATCAGGCAGCTAAAATCAGTTCAAATGGCAGCTCAAATTGTGATTCATTTTAAATCTGACATAATTCCTGACACACGCACGCACGCATGCACGCACGCACACACACACACATCCTTGTATTTTCATCAAACTGAGGACTTTGTATTGAGTTCTTTCATTTCTCTAACTGTATTTATGCCTAACCCAGACATTTTCCCTAAAATTAACCATTACTGGTTTATAGTTAACCCTAACCTGAACCAAAACTTAATTCACACCATACCTCTAAACCTAACTAGTAAAGTACAGCAGAGCTGCAAACAAAGTGAGGACATTGAAGAGGTCCTCAATTTACATCAAAGACCTCACTTTGATAATAACTATGGTGCAAATGGTCCTCACTCTGTATTAAAAACAAGCACACACACACACGGACTGTTTTGCTTATACATTGAGCGTATAATAAAAACCGCTTCAGATTAGAGAATCAAATGTTAAAACCTATTGTTTCAGCCAATAGTGAGCAATGTAAACAGAACAGCAAGCTGAAAATTAAAGGTTCTAACTCCCTATCTGGTTTTTAAAAAACGTGGAATATTCTGACACGTAGGGAAACACTGAAGAGATAAAGCTATTACTGTTTAATTCTTTTTTTYAAATGTAAATTAAAAATGTCCTACAAAGAATTGGATGAAGTTTAAAGATTATGGTGTTTCTTTTTAAAAACGCTTCCGTCATTCAAGCTAATAAGTAAACTGAATCATTTTTATTGCCCTGCCTGCRACACAGTAGTCTCGCTCTTGTAATTCACAGAATCCCAAGGAGCATCAGATTGTCAGAATATATAAAAGCACTTATGTCGTTTCTGTTTCAGGGAATCATAAACATCGTGTACATTGTCGGAGTGAACCCCATGGCTCAGAGCTCTTCTAACATCATGTACAACCCGATGCTCATGATGTGTCAGAACCTTTACCAGACTGGCTACTCCCAGATGGGAGGGGTGGGAGGATTCCCCATATACAACCAGTACCTCTACCATTACTGCTTCGTGGACCCACAGGAGGTCTGTAGATTGTTTCATGTAACTCTTGTGGCTGGATGTTCAGCAGAACCCACATTTTATTTTTCATATTAATCTGAACGATGTTGATTCATTGCTCATTTGATCTATGAGTTTATTAATAATACTCTGTAATATGGGTTCTGTGTCTTTGTTTTTCACCATTGAAATACGTTTTATTGCACGTTTTATGTCCTGGAGGAGTCTCTAGATTTCATCGTACTGTCGTTGCTTTCCCAGGGGGTTGCCATGGTGTGTGGATTCCTGGTTGTCATCGCTTTGGGGGTCACTGGTTTCTTTGCACAAAAAACAAGAGGGAAGATCTGGCGCTACGGAAAACCAAACATCTACTGGGATGAGCCTCTCGTTGGTGGGAAGGCCTCAGAGGGCAGAGATGTAGAGGACTGGGTAAGAGTCAACTAAACTCGGTTTAATAACACTGTGTTTACATCTGATTTAAAACAAACCCAAAATTGACCTTGAGTTGTTCACARATAAAGGTACAAATGAAAGATTTTTTTTATATTATGATACTATAGTGGCTATTTTGGATAAAAGATTAGTCGCCAAAGTTGAACTGTGTCACAAATTGTGTTCTGATTCTTCTGCCAAGTGACATCAGCAGGATAGTTACTGCCCTGTAMAGTTTGTCATCAGGTATAAAGATAGTAAGGTGACGTGGTGGTAAACAGGCAAACTGAAGTTTCTGCACACCTGAGACCAGCCCGTCACTCTGTTGATTGAACAAAGAARTTGTTGTCAGCCCTCATCTGCTTTTTAATTGCTCCTCTTTAAGAGTTAAAAGTCCAGAACATGAGTYAGTTTATAGGATCCAGCGAGGAAACTGGCATTGCCTCGTACGGAGTCGTTTTGTTCTGGGTCAGAGCTGATAACAGCCACTGATCGAGTCTGCAGCCTGGTTTCACTCTCACTAATTATTAACCCTCTGAGGAGATAGTGAGTAGCCTCGTAGTTTCTAGAGAGCCTTTCTTTGTTTTATTCAAACGTCAACAACACTCAGGGTTACGCAGGAGTGACAGGTGAAATATGGGTCAATAAGTCACCTGATCTGACTCATTTTAAATCAACTTTTTTTGGGGAATGACTGAGTAAGAGAAACATCTAAAGCTTAGAAGGTTTGGAGAGTTTTTTAATTGACAAACATTTGTTAGATTTTTTATCAAGTGGTTTATTGTTTATTGTGTTGTACAGTATGTCAGAAATGAAGGAAAGACAACTCTCTAGGATTTTTTTATGTGCTGCAGTAAAACAATGAGTAATACTTCCATATATTGTACTGGGTTCAGATGAGAACTTTAACACGTACACAAAACATGTTAACTACGTTTTAAAAAAAGGGTAAAAGATTTATTGTATGACAATAGAAAAAGTGATTTTAACATTTGAGAAAGCAGTAAATAAACTAATCAGTGTTGCAGGTATACAGCTTTAGTAGTGACTGTCTTACCTGCAGCAGATAGTGGTCAGAACTGTCC